ATGAGGATGGAGCGGTCCACATGAAGCTAAATCTATCCATGTGAAAGACATATGAAGATGGAGCGGTCCACTGGAAGCCAAATCTGTCCATGTGAAAGACCTATGAGGATGGAGCGGTCCACTTGAGGCAAAATCCATCCATTTGAGGGACCTCTGAAGGTGAAGCAGTCCACTTGAGACGAAATCCGTCCATGTGAAGGACCTATGAAGATGGAGCAGTCCACAAGAGGCCAAATCTTTCCATTGGATGGATCCTTGAAGTTGGAATGGTCCATTTAAGGCTAGATACTTCCATTTTTGGGATCTTTAAAGCTGGAGTGCTCAAGATCCGTTCCTATCTTGCTGAAGAGGACCATTGGAGAGGACCGCGGGGAGGACCACCAGAAAGGACCGCTAGAGAGGACCACAGAGAGGATCGCCGGAGAGGGCCGCGGAGATGACCACCGGAAAGGACCGTCGGAGAGAACCGCGGGAAGAACCACGGAGAGGACCACCAGTGTGGACCACGGAGAGGACCACTAGAGAGGGGACTTCCGGAAAGGATCGTGAAGAGGACTGCCAGAGAGGACCGCGGAGAGGGTCCTGCCACTTCCGTCCGTGGTTCGGCGGAGGAAGTCGGAGCTCGCCGGATCTCGTCGAAGATGAAGGCCTGTTTGTTGTCGATGAGGCTCGCCGGAGTAGTAGGAGCTTGATGGACGAACTAGACCAATCGCGGCCACTTCCATCCGCAGCTCGTCGGAAAAGTGGGAGCTCGTCGTAAGCCCGCCGCTGCTATCCGTGGCTCGCCGGAGGAAGTGGGTGATTGCTTCTTCCGGGCCAAGGTTCGCCGGAGTAGACAATTGCTAGTGGTATGGCTCGCTGTTGGATACCGCTAGGGATGAAGCACGCTAGAGGGCTCACCGGTCTGGGAGGATACTCACCGACCCTGGAGGAGGGTACTGCCGGCAGCCCTACCGCGTGCTCGCTGCTCGCCGGAAAGATCCCCGTTGTTCTTCACACTGGCTCGCTGCTCGTCATCCTTGTAGAGGGCACTGCTCGTGGACCGGATTGATTTGGATGTGGCAGACCGTCCCTCTCTCTCTTTTTCTGTTTCTTTTCTCCTTCTCTGACTTTTCTATTTTTTTTCTTCCTCTTGATTCTCACTTCGTATCCCTCCTCATTTTTTTGTTTTTTTACTTTCTCAACCCACCTTTTTTTCTCTATTACGGACTCGGAGCACAAAATCTTTTTGTGACAGTCCCACGGATGGCGCCAGTGATGGAAACCGCCTTTTCGAGGCGTCGACCTGATGAAATCGGTACCGGGTCGGCACCGCACCGAATAGCGAAATCCGGAAATTAAGTACATAAATAAAGCGCAGAGAAAGTATTTATACGTGGAAACCCAAATCGGGAGAAAACCACGGACCTTTTTAGGCGGTGCCATGCCAAAGGGGGAGGAACTTTTATTAATCTCGGGGGAGTTTACATATACATCATTGTAGGAACTTGAAGTCATTAATGGAGCTCCAAGCTAAAAGAAGAAGAAGAATGAAGAATATAGTAGTAGGAACTTGTATGAATCTAGCCTTGGCCTCCCCCTTCTGTCCTGCGTAGCCTAGTATTTAAAGGGGAGTACACGCATGCATCCCCAACAATGCCATGAGGTGGCCATGTCACCTCCATGTGCACATGTTTTGTAAATGGGCTCCACGGAATATTTTTATATCACCTCAAATATATATTCTTCTGTCCATATATCTCTGGTTCTGTCTTGAATTATTTATCTGATTTATATCTTGGGCCAGATAAAATTGAGCTTTCTTGTACTGTTCAAATAATATTGGATTAGGAAAAATCCCTAATCCATCACCATCTCAATAGCAATGATGGATTAGGGATTTTTCCTAATCCAATATTATTTGAACAGTGCAAAAAAGCCCAATTTTATATGGCCCAAGATATAAATCAGATAAATTAATCAAGACAGAACCAGAGGTATATGGACAGAAGAATATATTTGAGGTGATATAAAAATATTCTGTGGAGCCCATATACAAAACATGTACCCGTGGAGGTGACATGGCCACCTCATGGAATTGTTGGGGATGCATGCATGTACTCCCCTTTAAATACAAGGCTACGCAGGACGGAAAGGGGGAGGCCAAGGCTAGATTCCTACAAGTTCCTACTACTATATTCTTCATTCTTCTTCTTCTTTTAGCTTGGAGCTCCATTGATGACTCCAAGTTCCTACAATGATGTATATGTAAACTCCCCCGAGGTTAATAAAAGTTTCTCCCCCTTTGGCATGGCACCGCCTAAAAAGGCCTGTGGTTTTCTCCCGATTTGGGTTTCCACGTATAAATACTTTCTCTCCGCTTTATTTATTTACTTAATTTCCGGATTTCGCTATTCGGTGCGGTGCCGACCCGGTACCGATTTCATCGGGTCGACGCCTCAAAAAAGCGGTTTCCATCACTGGCGCCACCCGTGGGACCGGTCACAAAAAGCTTTTGTGCTCTGAGTCCGTAATGGAAAAAGGGAGAGAACAAAAAGAAAGGGAGAGAGACGGAGAGAGGTGGGAGAGAAAAGTCAAAATAAAGAAAGATGAGAGAGCCCATTTCCTTTTCTTCTCAAATCGGAAAGTCGCATCACCAGATCTGGGCAGTGAGCTCCTCCTACGGCGAGCCACGGACAGCGGCAGGCCTCTGGTGAATACCTCCTTCCTCCGGCGAGCCACTCCCGGTCCTCTTCAGCGAGCCCTTGGCGAGCCTCTCTCCGGCGAGCTTAGATCCGTGACCGCTTGGAGATCCGGCAGAGTCATAACCGGCGACAAGCTTCGACGAGCCCTTGGCGACCGCGGCCAGCATGGCGGTCCAGTAGACAAGCGATTCCTCTAGCTCCGGCAACTCCTCCCTCCGCCGCCGAGCCGCGGACCGCGGGGATCTTTCCGGCGAGCAGCGAGCACGCGGTAGGGGGACGCCGGCAGTACCCTCCATTAGGGTCGGTGAGTATCCTCCTAGACCGGCGAGCCCTCTAGCGTGCTTCATCTCTGGCGGTATCCAGCGGCGAGCCATACCACTAGCAATTGTCCACTCCGGCGAACCTTGGCCCGGGAGAAGCAAGCTCCCACTTCCTCCGGCGAGCCACGGATAGCAGCGGTGGCCTTACGACGAGCTCCCACTTTTTCCGGCGAGCCGCAGATGGCAGCGGCCGCGATTGCTCTTCTTCGTCCATCAAGCTCCCTTTGCTCCGGCGAGCCTCGTCAACAAAAAGCGAGCCTTCATCTTCGACGAGATCTAGCGAGCTCTGATTTCCTCCGCCGAACCATGTACGGAAGTGGCAGGCCCCTCTCCGCGGTCCTCTCCGGCGGTCCTTTCCTAGGTCCTCTCCGGCGGTCCTCTCCGGAGTCCTCTCCGGCGGTCCTTTCCGCGGTCCTCTCCGGCGGTTCTTTCCGCGGTCCTCTCCGGCGGTCTTCCCCGTGGTCCTTTCCGACGGTCCTCTTCGTGGTCCTCTCCATCAGTCCTCTACGCGGTCCTCTTTAGCAAGCCATGGATGGATATATCCTCAAGAGGACCGCTCCAGCTTTAGAGGTCCCAAAAGTGGACAGATTTATCCTCTAGTGGACCGCTCCATCTTCATAGGTCCTTCACATGGACAGATTTGGCCTCCAGTGGACCGCTCTATCTTCATAGGTCCTTCACATGGACGGATTTGGCCTCCAGTGGACCGCTCCAACTTCATGGACCTTCAGATGGACAGATTTGGCCTCTAGTGGACTGCTCTATCTTCATTGGTCCTTCACATGGACGGATTTGGCCTCCAGTGGACCGCTTCAACTTCATGGGTCCCTCACATGGACGGATTTGGCCTCAAGTGGACCGCTCCATCCTCATGGCTCCTTCACATGGACGGATTTGGCTTCTAGTGGACCGCTCCATCTTCATAGGT